GTGATGGTTACATAACAGTGTAAACGTGCTAACACTACACTTAGAAATGATTAAGATGGTCGACTTTATGCTGTGTGTATTTTACCACAGTTGAAAAAAAAAGGAAATCTGTGATGAGGCAGGTAGAAAAGCAGAAGCTCTGAACATAAAAGAGAAGTAGTAGATGGCTCCTGTTTACCAAACACCTATAAGCAGGCCCCACTCCTGCCACTTAAAAACAGAAGCAAACCCCAAACCCTTCCTTCCCAGGCCGGCTCCTCTCATCCTTCAAGTCTCAGCTCGAACAGCAGCGCAGAAAGACCATTACCGCTCACCCTATCTAAAAGGTGTCTGCTTGTTTACATGCATCTCAGACCCTTTTGTGCCTTCTTATGGTACTTATCATGTACGACATCCGCAACACTCTTACTCATCTGTTTACTTGTTCATAACAGTCTCCCTACCAGGCCACAGGCCACAGAGGGTAGGGGCTATTTCCAGCTCACTCACCACTGATCCTGGCACCAACTCCATGTTGGCTGAATGCATATGCCAGGCATCCTGCTAAATTTTATGTGCATTCTCATTTAATCTTCACCAGCAATGTGGATATTTTCCCCCCATTTTGTATTTGAGGAAACTGAGGCTCAGAAAGATTAAGCAGTGAGCCCACATCACAGAGCTGGGGAGGGGCATGGCCAGGACTCCGCCCTGCCCATCTGGCCCCAGTCCAGGCTCCCCCACCATGCTGTGCTCTCTCTCTCTGTGCTCTCTGGTTCTCCCCCTCCTCATACGTGCACAGCATGGTGGGTGTGCACACGTCTGCTGACTGCATGCAATGATGATGGCCCAGCAGGGTTTATGCAGAAATGGTGCCCTGATTCTTACCATGCAGGCCGCAGAGGCCACTTCATACATGATGGCCTGGGCTCCAACCTCTGTCACGTTAATCAGTCCTGAAACATTGGCACATACAGGCACACACAAAACACATCTCAAAAAGTGGATTAAAACAAACATTTTCCTTATGAAACCATAACTTATTTTAATGTAGGTGCAGCCAAGAACACCCCCAGAAGCACAGCCTGATGGCAGGATTCACCGCCTATGCTGAGGAGAACCCCGGACGTCTTTTCCCAGGGAGCTGCCAAGATCTCAGGCAGCTAAGCTGTGACACGGGCTTGTTCTACAAGCCCCTACCCAACGAGGGAAAAAAACATCAGGTTCAAAGTAGAAAAAAGTGAGACTCCTATAGTTGTAGGTTGTTCCCCGGTGACCTGGGGTAACACTGTGAGGGGAACACAGAGGGCAGTGGGACTCTGCACACTGTGCGAGGGTTGACGGCCACAGCAATGTCAGTTGTCACCATCCTCTGCCCTGCTGTTTGCTGTTTTTTACTAGTAATAAGACAGCTAAGGTGAATGCCTATGACCAAAAAGTTTATTACAAAATTACATTAATTACAAAATTATTGCCAATAGAAGCAGAGGTCATGGCTAAAATGGAGCCAATCAGTCACTCTGTGTTTGTAAAAGTTTTTAAAAACTTGGCTTGATGGCTAGCAGAAGTCAGCTGCGGCACAGGATGCTCTGAGGGAGTCCTGAGACCGGGCTTGGGGTTCTGTCCTCCCACTCCATGACCTCTGGCAAACCTCTCACCAGGCCGCCCTTTCCTTGTTTACAAAATAAAGGGTGTGGCATAGAGCAAAAGCCCCACCCGACCTGAATGCTGTGGCTGGACGAGGCCTCACCCCTCCATGGAAAACCTCAGTGACAGCCTGATGCAATGGGAGGACAGAGCATCAACTGAGGTTTATGGAAAGCCCCTGAGTCGTGACTCGCCAGGCTGCGGGCAGGCCTCTGCTGGGCTTCTGACAAACCTGCGAGAAAGGTCCCGATCTCAAAGGTCCACCACTCGATGCACACCATGAACATACTGGGAACAGCCAGACACACG